GAAAAATCATGCCCTATGTAGATACATTTTCCCACAACTAAATTTAGTAGTGTATTTCAAATCATACCATATATGCTTTGGAATAATGCAATTACGTTAGATTCAAGAGAACACAATAAAAAGTTTTTCAGTGATTAAAACCTAATGGTACCTACTACTAATACCTTTATGAAAGAAGGAAACATTTATTGCAAATCAATCCAACAGAAAAAAAAGTCAATTTCATAACGATGATACTTTTCAAATACAAAGTGGTAGAAATTAGTTACTGACATAATTTTTCCCTAGAGATTATATGGAAAACGTCTACAATTGCAGGTTTGAAACTTCGTTCGGGAACAGTGCCTGCCACTAACTTGAATCCTCAATAGAATGTCTGGAGAACTTGCTCGGAGTATTTATGACCAAATTTGGAAAATATGATACCTACTTATCGGTACCTTTGCCGAAACTGAACCATCCGAATACCATATTGTTGAATAACGTTGTTTCTAAGTAACATACTTGAAAGGCTGAAATGGGTCAATCTCTCTACACATGAATGAATTGTGTAGATTTCTGCTTGATCAACAAGAAGCGACTAAGCTTATAAGCGCCAATATATACTTCCACTTTGACCACGGACTATCCAGTATGCGAGTAAGTGGTCATCGTGGTCGCATACTGTGTAAGTATCTTGAATCTATATTGTGCTATCGGTAATGTATACAATTCTCTATGTTGTCCGTCAAACTCTTTCTTCCAAAAAATATGGAGTGGAGGTATATCTAGAAGAATTTCCATAGACGCTGGCTGTGGTGCTGATGACACCAGAGATAGCAAGGCAAGCATGTCTGTTATGCGAAGTCAAATAATTCAGATGTCTTTTTCTGGAGAAGGAGACAGTCACAGTTTTCGTGGGATTCACAGACATCTGCACTAACTATGAACCTTTTCAGCATTCTTTGGAAGATATCACACACTACTCTTCCTGACGTGGTTTTGGCCGGTATGACAAGATGATCTGCATAAGATTGAAAATCTACTTTTTTATAGGATGGATCAATTGGATTATTTATGGCCAAAGAAGAAAGGACAGTAAACCGCCTTGAAGTTGATGGCCTAATCTTGAAAAGTTATAGTTGTTGTGTTACGAATCTGGCGTAGATTCAGTCAGTTATGGCCGATTCTGTGCCTTTTTGAGACGAGGCTGATCCGAGAGATTCATAAGAAAACAAATATTTCTAACTGAAATTTCGAAACATGCATCTCTCCCAACATACCCACACAGTAGGTTCTGGAAAATGAATCCAGAAAACAATTACTTCTCCGGCTAATACTATCGAGTGGTCCCAAGCTGACATAATACACAGGGAGGAACACTGGTTTAGAAGGAAATTCAAAGAAGCCGTGTACATGTTGTCCAACAATGTATTCAGCCAAGCTAGCGTAGAGATAAAAAACATATGAAAACCTATAATCAAGCGAAAAATGGCCAACTCCCGCTAAACAGTCATCTGCCGATAAACCGGTAAAGCGGAAAGAGGAAAGAAGGAAGTAAGTGAAAATACTTGAATGACCCCTAAATAGTCATCTATCGGAGGAATTAGTCCAGTCATCACCCGAAGACGATTGTGAATCAAAATGTCGTGAAGTAACTTGGCTTGGAAACTCTCTATTTTTGATTTGTGTTTACATTTTTTGTTTAATTGTTCTTTTTTTTATTTGTATTTCATTTCACTGTAGTTGCTTTTCAGTTTTTTTTTACTTATGATGCACTGTTTGGAACCTTTGGTGTAGTAATGAATATTATTGGAGTTTTTTCACAACACCAAATCGTTATTTTTAACACCTCGACACGTGTTTCGATCACCAAGTGATCATCTCCAAAGAGGAAGATTGAAACTAGAAACCCTATTTATGCTATATAGGTAACTCATACAGGTAAACCAACCAGGCGTACCAACCATACAGGTATACTAACCTAAATTAATTTTACAACTTTGCCTTATCTATTATTTTACAATTTATGTTTAAATAAAACAATTTTCAACTATATCAAAATTAATTTCACAATATTGCCTATCCAAATTTATTTTCGCAATGTGTCCTTATGTAAACAACAACAACATTATTTTATTTTATTTTAACAAGCTATATAGTATGCTCTTTGGTATAGGTCCGTCATCGTTATTCATAATATTATTGTGTTTACTTATTTCTACACTCTCATAGGCATCTAGTTGCCTGTTGTTTTTTTTACTTGCCAGAGTTTAGCAAAGACAATACAAGCCAGATACAATAGAAGTCCGACCTAATGAAATTCATCATGAAACATTGTTAATCATCTATATATTGTCCACAAATCAGATATAGGGGTACCAAAATCCATGGTAAGAACCAAATCAGAAAATGGGCTCATGAAAAATAAGTATAAAGCGTACTGGAAAAATACACCTGGGATTACTCACGAGAAAACCTGCATCAACGGATCGTCTGAGGAAATAACTGAAAAATTGCTTCAAAATCACATAGATTGTTTCAAAATAACTACAGGGCCTATGTTTCACTGCATTCATTCGCTTCATAAAAATTGATACCTAATTGAAGTCAGTTATTTCTACCGAATGCAACGTTGATTATCAGTCTTTTCCAAAGTTTAATTGATGTCAAAAGTCTCGTTATATCTTTATGATTCAATAAAGAACTCATTGCACTTAAACGTTGGACAGGTAACAAACTTTATTTAATTGCGTTAATTGAACGTATTCACTTTGACCTGCCTTTCATTCAAATTTTTAATTTTTCTCTCAAGGATTGTTTGATATCTGGTTTCCCAAGAAACATGCAGAATGGAACTAGCCCACTTGACTTTTAGTCAATGCATTGCAAATCACAATGTTTTTCTTCATTTTGCATTTATTTTTATAGAAAGCTCCATACAAAAAAATTGTTTTATACAGAAAGGAAGAATATGTATTTTTTTAAAAATTCAGTTATTTGAAGTAACTACTCGCATTATTGAAAATCTACGGTCATTGTAATTCAGAGATCTCAATAATTTATTTTCAGAACAATTTTTTCATACCGCTGTGGAGTCTCACGAACATATACACAGATTGGTAATAAATTCAGCCATCAAGTATTTAGCCATTTACTTTTACTACTATGAAGTTGTTTCTATTTCAATAATTGCGAATAGTGAATGATGGTCTCCAGCCGATGTTGCCTGGTGAAATGCCACTGCAATGATAACATTCCGTTACTGAAGTGATTGCTTACTGTATCGAAAATAGAACCTTGAAAAATTTACCAAGGGGTTCAAAATTCTTTGAAGATGTAGTGATCCCCAGTTGGATCTTTGTGTGAGAGCTGATTCAAAGGCATAAACCTACAGAAGTAACGGCAAAATCCATATTTCATCAGTTTGGACTTTTCAACCACCTTAGAGTCAAAATCTATTATCACCACACAAGTGAATAAAAAAGCTCCCACTTGGTGATCCTTGGTGAGGTTTCAGACTAACTCATCTACCTCATTTGAAATCAAGAGCATTTTTTTGATACAAATATAAAATTTCTTTCATATTATCTTTGAATGCAGGTGTAATCTAATCCAAATCTGAGAAAAATATCCAGACAGACATTAGAGGTTTCGAGGGTGTTTTTGGCTGTCGTGAAAAAATGAAGGAATGATTTAAATAGAACAGGATCCGAGGACATTGTCCTCGGATCACGGATCAGCAAGGCTATTGGCACTGTACTTCGTTGAAGATCATTGTCAGTTTCATCAAACCTCTCAACGTCATCTATAATAGAAAATATCTTCAGATTTAGCGATCGATAAGTATAAGAGTGAGTTAGGAAGGATAAATACGAACATTGCGCTTCTCTGGAGTATCATTGCTCGGAACGTCATTGTGTTGTTTGCGGCATGGATTTACTCACTATTCTTCTATGTACAGAAGAAGCACTTCCTCCCCGTATGCTACTGGCAATCATTCTTCAGGCTGGGGCGAAACATATCATAAGGCAATTTCAGTCCAGGGTGGCTAGGTTGCCACAACAAGCTCTTATGCTTTGTGGTAATTTCGCGTCGGTCTCATCAAAGTCAATATAATGTGGTATCATCCATTTTTCACTCGGTAAAATGCTTTCGGTCAATGTTGCTGAATTTTTTATGTTGCGTTTCTGTACGTCCCGAAGGGATGTTTGAAAACATAAGGTAAGACTCGTCGAAGTATATAAAATGGGGTATCAGTTCTACTAATAATTTTGATTCTTGTGTCCATTGAGATATTCATTCAGCATACTAAGACACATAACATATATAAAATTCAACTGAATTAACGAAAATCACTTTTCCAATTTTCACTTTTCGGTTCACATTTTCAAATTTGATTTGATTCGCAAAAATGACAAATAAAAGTGAAGCGATACATGTATATGCATGTTTGTGTAATGACTAAAGTTTTGTCTGACATGTTCATAGTTTGGTGAAATTTTTATTCAAAGGCTGCTTTGTTTTTGAGCTTTTTGAGGTCCGGTTAAGAAAGACAATAATGTACCAAAAGGTAAAACGTGAGCTGAAGGATTTGAAAACTCTAATTGATCAATCGAACTGTATTCACCTAGGAGAATGCATGTATATGAAGGATGAATTTATGTTAATGAGAACTTTGAATACAAAATTCAAACTAGTAAGGGAAAAAACAGAACACTTTGTACTGGACTGCACAAGTTTCCCTATAACTTCCAAGCACTGATAATATTCTCAACTTTTAATATAAATTTGTCTAGTATGTCTAATAATTCAAATTTTTCCTGATACAAACCTGTATGTAGTGGGAACTTCGACTATATAACTGTGACTTCCCATATGAATCGAATCAGTCTCCTAAAATGAAAATTCCGAACCTAGTAGAAGACTCCTTCAAGGGTCATTTATTCTTCATGAAAATAATAGGGATCTACCCCTCCGAAAACTTTTTCAAATATTACACATTTTTTGCCTATCTTCTTTACTTTCTCTTCACTATACCGTCCCCACTTCTGTCTATCATAAAGCTTATAGTACTCAAAGTAAAAGATATCGGAAATATGTGCGATAGCTTATCTCTGATAATTGAAATTGGAGTTCTTGTTTTGAAGGTGCTGCCATTCAAAAACAAGCCGGATGTCATAAAACGATCTATTTTTCACCTGAACAAGAAGATATTCAGTCAAGCTGAGCCCGAACAGTTATATATCCTTTTGGAAACAGTGGCAACGTGTAGAAAAATTTTTGCTATTTTCCTGACCAGCTGTCTGACAAGTTTATTCACTTGGGCTCTGAAAGTGCTTCTCTACGAAGAACGGGCATTTCCTATCGATGTTTGGTTGCCGTTCGACCCTTTTAAGAATGTTTATATTTACTTGACCGTATTTTTCTACATATTCATAGGTAAGATTACTATTATATGATTCATGCACCATATTAAAAGAAATGTAAGTTATTCAAAACACTTTTCGTATATACTGTTCCGTTTGAAACTTCAAATACAATATTTTTACAATATTACAAACACAAGCATTCACAAATACATTTTTGAATATCAAAAACTCATTTATATTGAAAGGGTATATTTTTGAAGAGATTAATTTTTAGGAAAGAAAGGTTTTGGCTTTCTACTTCTCCATCCTATAGCTGGGATTTAATGAAATAAGCGAATGAATGTTTACGTACTATCATCGATGACATGGTTGGGTTCAATTCATTCCGTGACAAAATGTCGTGATTTTATAAACGAACTGATTGTTTCTTCTTATGATGTTATCCGTATTTGCTACTAGAGCCGAAAAGGCAAGTGTCTTAACGACGAAACATAGGATGTCCAGTGGTGAGGATGACAGTGTTCTATGTAGGTGAAATTTTACTTCTTTCATATATTATATTGTGTAGGAATCCTGTGAATTATATCTGATTCGATTCCATTACGAATGTTTGGAATAAAAACTGAATATAGAAAAGTGTTTTTCGTATAATTTAGCATTAATATAAAGGTATTTGTTTCGAAAGTATTTTTAGTTTTCGTGTAATTCAATGAATATATAGAAAGAGTTATTTCGAGAGGGCTATTTTTCCAGTTTGTTTCTGAAAGTTATTTCTTTGCATGATCTACACATCATTGTATCTGTCTGTTTAAAATCTGTTTTTCCGTTAATCAGATGTCGCCCCTATACGAACGACAACTCTCAGAAGTTGAGAACTTGTACGAGCTAAGGACTAACGAGGTCTTACCTTTTAACGTGTGATTCCTAACACGGTTGCAGAACCATTCCAGCTTCAACCAGATAAATTCTTTCGAGAAAAATATCTGGTCCAGGCGGGAATCGAACCCACAGTCTTCCGATCGTGAGTCGGGCGCACTACCACCGCGGCCAAATCCACAATATAGAGTTAATTTTTGAAATTGATTGCTTCCTTTCTTTCTTTGAAACATTCCCACATTTGTTTGTATCAACATGGAGAAGTAGAAAGTTAAAACCTTTTTTTATCAAAAAACTGTTTGTAGATATCCCCAAAACCCGAATATTCTTCAGTGGAGAACTTTTGTCTGTTTTAGCTTGATAAAAATGATAATCACTACAGAAAAAAAAAACAATTCTTCTGTTAAATTATCAGAAATATCTTGTGAAAACAAGACACTTCATATACCAATTCTATAGTTTGTTGGTCCAATTATACATTGATCACACCCATCATAATCTACAAACAAGATATCATACGTTAGTGTCAAAGTTTATGATCAACTCTTGCTGCTGATTTTAAAAGAGTTATCGTCATGGCTCTAACATTTGCAACTAGAAGACAATTTCAACAAGATATATTTCAAATAACCTCCAGTTGGAAATTACTTAAGCGATATACGAAAATAATTTTATAAAAAGATTTCATTTTGGATGAATAAAACATCAACAGTTCAAGCAAGGCAACAAGAATGCCTGATTGTTGAATTAATATTTATTTATAATCTTTGTTTTGTCTACTTAGCATGTAGCCGCATCTGGAATAGCGAATGTAACTTTATCTCTGGTTGATGCTAGGTCAGCTCGGTTCATAACCCCTCCATCCCTCAGACGAAAACAAGAGGGATACTGGTTTATTTTCGGTATTTTCGGCTTGAACGGATGCTTTCTCTTTCATGGCGGTGGTCCTATTCTTATGAAGTTTCCAGATTGCGAAGGCGCGGCAGCAACCATTAAGAGGGTTATAAGGGTGCTTGCAGAATTGGATACTGCAGGGTGAATTACTTTGGTGTCCTGGATTTGAAGAAACCTGGCATCGTCTTGAAGTTCATGATTTTTTTTAGATCTATAATGTTCAGGTGAATTTTTATGAGTTCCAACTCTTCAGGGTTATTATTGTTTATTTAGATTTCTGGAATGGTTAGAGGATGGCCTCTCACAATTTCGTTTATGTTCCATAACTTGAAATCTCCGATTGTGATTTCGCAGTTGAATGGTACTTCAACAAGGCTGGGATCTCTTATGAGTGTGAACTCATCACTTTGGAAGTTTACGAGGATTTTCAGCTGTTTTTCAGCCGGAATGACTGACACGTCTTGACTGGAAATAGCTTCTATGATGGGGTTGGCTACGTAGACTACGGAGGTGGAGCAGTTTGGATTGTTGGTTACTTTGATAAGGGCTGCTATACAATCGTCTGTTTGTAGATCTTGATGATCGTGGCAAATATGTGTGTTCTCGAATACAGGGCACATCTCATCCTCGAACTGTTGTTGGTTTTCTCCAAGTAGTAGGAACGGGTGACTTGGGATGATTGTGGAATTGATAATTGGAACAGGAAATAGGCGAAACATTTCGAATAATTTTTGAGAGTGAATTGGAAAATGTATAGCAAATATAAGTTTTTTTCATGAACAGGTAACCTTTTTGCCAACCAATTGATATTATAACTCAAATTTAGGAATCCTGTCTTTATTGTATAATGAAGGTAGACGTCTCATTACCTTTTCCAATTCCTTATCTGATATTACAGTGCTGTGTAATGTATTTAATTTTGCGAATACTAATGCATCTTCTAAATTGTCCAGAAAAGTAATTGAATTTTGACGGTTTGATATAATCTGTTTCAATGTATTATGCGTTCCCAAATATTTATATCAGGTTTTGTTTGATATTGAATTGAAAGAAGTCTAGCCGATTTTCAATTACTTCTTGATTAGCAGTAAGAAGAGTTATTGTATTATGTCTATCAGCTTTTTTGAAATGATATCTGCATTGTGTCTGAGTCCAGAGTACCAAAAAGCCATCCGGAAGTTTTTCCCACTAAATTTAACAAACCACGATTTGAACACTTTTGAGTTCAGTATTATTAATTTTATTTCCTGCTTCTAGAATAAGATACTCGGCGTGTTTCACTTGATTGGACAAAAGTATTTGTGAAAAGTTAATTCTAACATTTTCTGCTATTTCATCTACTTTTTCATCGTAGAGCATTTGGTCATTAGATTTGGCTACTTGATGACCTATAACGTGGTCGGCAATTTTATTATAGAAGTAACGTAGATTTTTGAGTTGATTGAAAATTGGGGATATTTGGACAAAACGGATGAAGGTGTGTTTGGTGTGTGTTGTGTTTGGTTTCCAAGTGACTTCTATGTGACTAGTCGCTATTCTGGACATCATTAGGAGTATAGCTACACGAAGCAATGACGTCATCAGTTTCATTGTCCTGTAAAAAACCAGATAATTTTTTAGGTCTTTTCATTTTTGATTTGTGTACGAGTTTGTCTTTTGTTGTCTGTATTTTAGTCCCTAGACATTCTATTACTGTTTTCTTTCTATATCGAGGTTTACTTTTACTTTTTGCTGTTTTATTTTTGACGAATGTAGTTTTTCATCTAGTTTTTCGTTAAGTTTGGTCTTGTGTTCCAGGGAGATTTCATGTATTTTTTCAAAAAGAATTTTTAGTCTTTTTCGACTGTCGGTCGGTTCATTATAATTTTGTCAGACATATCAAATGGGTTTAGAGCGTCAAGTCGTTCGTGGATAATGACAAACGGTTTTTGTTTCGTGACTCTGTGAATTCTGGAATTGGAAACTCAACTTCCTTCCTGAGAAATTCACATTTATTTATTTGAATTTTTGATTGAGAACTGAGCAGTTTCTTAAAGATGAGTTTAAAGTTGGATATGTGTTCTTCAAGGCTAGTTGAAATTATAATGATGTCATCCATGTACACCAAACAAATTTTATTTTGGAGATCACTCAAATCATCATCAAAAACCCCTTGAAATGTCGCTGGAGCGTTCTTGAGGAATAATGGCATCCTAAAGTACTCAAAATGTCAATTTTCAACAATAAAAGTTGTTTTTTTTATGGAGTCGGGATGCATTTCTATTTGATGGAAATCTGACGCAAGATCCAATGTTGAAAACTTCTGAATTTTTAAAATGAAATGAATAAAATTTTAATTTTGACTATCTGAAGGTGGATAACTTTTTATTGATCATTAAAAAATATTGAAATTGATTCGTCCGAGTAATTGTGAATTTCGATTTTAGCTAATCCAATTTTTGCCGTCGTGAGTATTTCAGGAATGAAGATATTTTGGTAATTGCATTTGGTTATTGAAATATCATCAGAATTATGAGAAACATGGACTTCCACTGAGGCAATTTTCTTTGCATTAATAGTTATGATGTAAGTTTCCTTATTTGGATTTCTCAACAGCATTGGAATTTCAACTCTCTCGTTAACTAAACAATTTTGAATCGAATCAACGCAAAATTTCATTTATTGCACTTCTTCCAGGCCCAAAATACTATCGAACAATAAATGAAAATCAAATAGAATAAATTTTATCATTTGATCCGAATTGAGTTTTCTGGAAGACCTTATATCAGCTTTAAATCTAACTTCTTTTTCAACTTTACCCGTTTTAATTTCACTGAGGCTTTGATAAATACTTTCTGAAAAATTTTTTTCAGCAATGGAGGGCCGTATCATTGAATGATAAAAACCCGTAATCAGTTAACTGGAGTGGTCAAACTGCTGAAAATTTGTGGGGGTTTCTAGAAAATCTCCAGAGTTTTCGTTAACTTCAGTTTGGGGGTTTACGTCTGAATTGTGGTCTTAAGTGTGTTAGTTATGTTTGAAATCTGAGTTATAGTCATCAGAAATATTGTCGGAATCGTTCGAGGCATTAGTTCGGGCGACTCTTTATGAATTAGGTAAATTTCCTGAGACGTGAAGTTACGAGCACCTGATGATGCAAATTTATTATGTAGGTTGCCGATGAAATGTGTTTCTGGATGTAACTAACATTAGTTCTGAATGATTCGAAGGTGTCCTCCCTGTAGGTTGGAAGACATTTGTCGAAAGAAGTTTCTGTGGACAGGTCGTGGCTGAACACTGATAGGTTGTTTGGGAAACGAGTTTGCAGAAAATGACAGGTGCTTAGTGTCTCATTTCGAATGCTGGTCTTTGAAGCGTATTAAAATTTGGAGTGTTATATGAAAATTATTGATTATTTCCTGAATTTTGAGGAAGGTTTTGTGGGCTTGCAAAACTTGAAATTTGTGTGCTTTGAAATTGTGGTCTTGTGACAACTTTTGTATGTTGAGGTATTATTGAAGTTCTGAAAAGACATACATTGAAAATTTTCTTCTATAAGGTAAGTCATAGCGGCTTTTAAAAAAATCTGGACTCTTTATTCTAATTAAGCTTTATAATGGACCTGATATACTTCTAATAAAAATTCCTCAATGAATTTGTTGGTATTGTCCGTAATAAATCAATTAAGCTTTATACTTAAGCTGCATACTTTATTAAATCTTAAGTAGTTAATTCACTTCTACAACCTACTAATGATTGAGCTCTGTTGATTAATTTTGTTTGAATATTTTTCCAAAATAGGATAATTTGCATTACTATATCTTTCAAAAAGAAAATAACAAGCTGTTATTTTCTTTTTGAAATATATAAATAAAGCTAGTCAAAGTATTTCTTTCACCATCATGATTAGGTGTCGTATCAACAAAAATTTTCAACATGCTCAAGGTAATTGTCGGGTTTACTGTTTGAGCAGGCAGAGTTGAAATTGAAGAATTGGTCAACATGATTTCATATCGGACTCAGAAACGTTTAAGAAACCTTTGAAGTTTTCTATTAACTCGTCTTTATTTGTATGACTATTATTTATTGATTGATTTCTGATCAAACCCTCAGGTCAAACAACCAGAAATCAAGAAATGAGTAACTCTAACATATTTTCAAAACAAAAACAGAGATAATTGTGGGTTTCCTCAGAAAAAATAATGTGAAAGTGACATTCAGACCACATGCCAGGTTATCTGATTTCCTTTTCAATGCCAAAGATAAGGTAGAAAAGTTGGGGAAATCTGAAGTTTATAAGCTTAAGTGTCCGGAGTGTAATAGTGTTTATGTGGGACAATGTGGTCTACATTTTGAAAAGCGGTATGCTGAACATGAAAGGTTCTTCAGACTAGGAAAAAATGATTCGACGTTTTCAAACCATTCCTTAGCATGCAACCACAAGTTCCCGAATCTAAACGATACGGAAATTTTGCACTATGTAAGGAAAGGTTACAAACTCAATTATTTAGAATCCTTGGAAATTCACAACCATAAACATTGCGGATGCAACTTGTTGAATGATCAAATCGATTTAGTTCAGTCACCGATTTTGAAATTAGCACATCCGCATTGTAAATTGTAAATTCAGGTACTCAATCAAGCCAAGTACCTCTATTATTACCTACAGGGGTGCTATATAAGGGCTGATGTAATAAATCATAATGTATGAGTTTGAAAATGTCCTTACAGGACGAAACTGCAGTAACATTAGTTAGAAATAAAAGTGGTAAAAAACATAATTCTCTTTTCTTCTTTTAGAATATACTTCTAAAAAGAAGTTACATACAGATATAAGAATATGGAAATGTATACATATCTCCTTGATATCTTTGGTTATTCATACAATATGATAGCAAAGTTTTAATGAATTTGACCTGATTTCACCACGACGTCAATTCCAGTTCATTTTGGTACCTGAATAGTTTTTGCATATATAGTTTTGCGTATGGGCTCCACGAGTATTACTCCCGTAAAACAGGTACAGCAACGACTCCAGTCTTGTTTCAGAAACTTCGAGATATCTTGAAGCTTCAGTTAGGGGCACGTGTCTTTCTTCTGACACGGATATACAAACAGGTGCCCTCATCTCCACGGATAACACTTCGCTTGGCAAGGGTATTCTAACGCCCCCCGCTGCAGAGAGAGAACTGTACTGAACCAAATTTCAATTATTGTTATGTAGGTGCTGGTAGAAATAAGGCTGTTGATATTTCGGGTGGATATAGGTTTATTGACATCGATAATATCCAGAGATATATGCACATACACAAATATACATCAGGTACGACTACGTTACATTTTATACATTTCATAAATACAATCAAGCCGCCGATTGATACTGACTGACCCCAGCGTTTCCTGATCTAGAGACTGTTCTCCGGGCATGCGCCCTTGACCCTATATCAGTGGCGTAGCAGCCACATACATTACAATTATCATTATCAAAACAACACAGGTAATTTTTATAAGAACAACAACATATAAATTTTTTTCCAATGAACATGAGTCAATGAGAACAAAATCTGTTGCATGATGTTACTATGGATTTCTGCTTCACATGGTGGAAAATCATTTCAAATACTTCTTTTCCGGGGCTTTCGGCTGTATTCAGAAAAATATTTGGATCGGTAGGTGAAAGTTATGTTTCTGATTCCATATAAACAACAATCATATTATTTGAAGCTGTACTGTATGTAATGACTCGACATGTATGTACTTTGTTCGTTTATGATGATCATTATTGTTTAATAAGTGTACTATACTCCACAGTATTCTTGTGTTGCATTCCGAACTGCAGTACATTCAAATTAAGTTGTGAATCTTGCATGGCCGATTGTATAGTATCCAGTAGGATTCACGTCTCTTGCAAAATCGGCTTCCTGAGCTTTTAAATATTCGTCACTCCTAATGAATAGAATTCCATAATTCATAATAATAATGATAAGAAATAATCATTTTAACAATTGGTTAACTTTGATGAGTAACGTGATCTTTAATTTGTGTTCAAAAACTTGCTTTCTTTTTTTTAAGGCGCTCCAATAGCAGTTCCTGTGCAGTAGTGATGCACATTGGATTTGAATGGCTGAAGATGAAATCCATTTGAAATGAAAGAGTACTCAAACAGTGGAGTTCGATGTATACTGAGTTGAACCTCAAAATGATGAACAGCCACAGTCCGTTGCTTATTTCTGATATGTACCGCTCTTGGTGGAATCAAATGTACCAAGTCACTTGAACACTCTCCGTGGAAGTATCCAAAAAAAGACAAATCTCCAACCTTTCTTCGATATTCCAGACTATCAAGGTTGTATGTGATGTTCGTGTCTCTAATCAGGCGGATGACTCTTTTCTGGATGGAATCTAGCAGCTTAAGGGTATGCTCAGAGGTGGAGCTCCATACATGAGAACAATACTCCAAAGGAAGTCTGTTTTATAAAGCATCAGAAGTAGTTGAGGTGTGTACAGTTTTATGGTTCAGAACAGTGTTCCAAGCTAATGAAAAGCGGTTTTTGCAATTCCAGCCACACGATTGTGCCCAGACACATTGGTATACATTTAAACCCCCCAACAAACTTATCGAAGCAGAAAGTGGAATTGTTTGACCTTACATGGAATGACGAGACAGATGTGCTGTCGTCAGCAAAGCAATATATCAAATTCTTGTTTTATAAGTCGTTGATATACAATGAAAAGATTTGGAGACAATATAGATCCCTGGAGAACACCAAAGTTGATGATGTGACTAGTATCAAATGCTACATGAAGTGTACTCAACCTAGTTTATTGACTTGTGCAATTGATTGAATTCAAGGCAAGACAATGGAGTGGATTTGATGTATTGAATGAAATAATACTCAGAATTCATCTATTTTTCTCTTTTTCTTTACTGAAAAATATAATGTTGCTATTTGATAATGTGAACCAACACTGTTTTCTTATCAAAATTCACAGATTTGAAGAAAAAACTGAAGGTTTCCATTTTTTCAGGTGTTGGAAATGCAGCTTTGTGTACCGCTTCTATTGACACACTTATGGCAGGTCTTATCAATCATGGAGCAGGACAGATTAAACTTCTCAAAGACACGCTCAAACATCTAGGCAGAAGAACTGATGAAAAAATTAGGAAATATGAAAATCTCTCCGAGTTCCAAATGAAACTACTCAAAGAAAAACTCATCTATAGGAAGATCTGCTCTTGTGTTGCTCATTACGAAGCAATTCATCAGTAGGTATATTTCCGTTCAATTTACATGGTTGAGAAACCGAAAATGAAATGTCTAAAATAAATACAATTCTGAACCGAAATTCTAAGTAGAACACTTTTTAATAATACCTTGAGACTTTTAGGACATGTGTTCCGAAAATGTTTAAATATTTCACTCTTACAGAAGTTCAAGAAATTGAAAAAACTGCGCACAACCTATTCATATATTGAAAGTAGAACCTTTTGATACCTCTCTTGGATTTTGTTTTTTGCAATTTGTTCTCTGGGAATTAAAAATGAACTTTTGAACCTATTTCCCCCCAAATGTTATATCTGGCTCGTAGAAATTGATTTTCTGAACCTGAATTTGAAACGAAACATGAATTGAAAATGTAAAATGAATAAAGAAATCGTATGAAAGACTAGATTTGCGATATTAAGACATCAATGAAAAAATAACCCAATTGAAAAAATGTCTGGCAAACATGAGATCCGGGTTTGAATTCCGGTTAGGTCACATTTTTTCAATTCACTTTTTCTCATTCAAGTTCGTATACCGCTAATCTAGTATTCAATTTTTATATCATAGACGAAGAAACTTTCCTCTACTATTGAAATTATATTGATTGAAGTTGTGAACAAGAAACTGACAATTATATAGGTACTCTCAAATTGATGAGGAAAAATTAATGAAGAAAACTGGGTGCAATTTTTTTGTTCAAGGGATACATGTTTATTAAATTTCTGACCGGTCTTCTGGTTTTGCATTGAGTGTATTTCGACTTGCGAATCATTTCTGCGTTAGAAACTGGGCGATCCTGCCACATCCAGAACAAGCAGTTTTCACTATACGCGCACGCGATTTTCACTAACCACGTTAGTGTCTTCAGGAGATGGAGGAAACTTCATCGATTCCGAAACAACACCTTCTATACAGGCTGATTCACGGTGGATGGCACATTAGACGTTTCTGGTGAACCAGACAACTGATCACTTTGAAAATTTAATGGAGGGCATATTCGGACATTCTCTAGCCAACTAAAATATTACATATCTCCTTGATATCTTTGGTTATTCATACAATATGATAGCAAAGTTTTAATGAATTTGACCTGATTTCACCACGTTTGTCTTTTGTTGTCTGTATTTTAGTCCCTAGACATTCTATTACTGTTTTCTTTCTATATCGAGGTTTACTTTTACTTTTTGCTGTTTTATTTTTTACTATCATTTCATTTCAGGTTTATTGTTGCTTAATATAATTGTTATTTTCAACTATTCTTTTTTTAATTATTCTTTTTTACTTGTTTCAGGGATTTCAAATCATTTTATATAGTAGACAATGGAAGTCCGAACTAGTGAAATTCATTCATACGTTAGTTATTTGCAGCCATAGCAATTTCATTTGAATTGAAAAGAAGATATTTTTAGGAAAGATTCATTAAAAAAAATTGTTTTCTACTTTTCCATCATTATGAAAATAATGCGAAAAACTTCCTCAGTTATCCTGAGGCAGATGGTAATAACCACCGAAAACTTGACAAAAACAAAGAGTTCTCTTTGAATAGCCCTCAAAATCTTACCTGAAATCGAGAAAGAGCCCCTGGTAGACAGCTGTTTCAGCTTGTTGGGCATCGCCAGTACCGAGTAGGCAGTCCTCGATTGAAGATTGTGACCAAAGTCATCTTAATTTCAAACAGGTTGGAGCCTGGCTCCCTTACCGTCATGACTGGCGTTTGTCAGAAGGACAAATGAGTCGTAACTAATCATGGGATGGCGGCATGAAGGTCCTCAGACATCAGTACCACACTTCACGGTGAACCCCTACCTGACTGAGGTGAGATGGATGAAAAATTGTTCATCTGTTAACGAGGGACATGAGGGCCTCACTCGGCAGAGTGTTTGGGCCTTCTATATCGGAAGGGGTCGTCTACAGTATAGTCTATAGCTCCCCTAAATAACGGGCAAAATGTGAGAAACCAAGAACAGCACTTGATAAAAATAACTGCGTAAACGCAAGCGAGACATAATTGAACCCACCTATTGGTGTGACACCCAAGTCAACTTGCCAGGTTTTCATGTCAGTGTTGGTGGTTTGACCAATCAACCGAAAACTACGGTAGTGGAAATTTGGAAAGCTATTCTGGAATGCCATCGGAAAACGAATCCACATGTTTCTAAAAAGATATGAAATCAAGAAAGGTTAATGCAGTCAAGCTGCTGGAAAATAATTAAATGAAAATCAAAAGTAGGCATTGCCAGTATCCGCAGGCGGTCCTCGATTGAAGACAAAATGTGAATAACCAAGAAAAGTACTTGATAAAAATAACTGGCTAAACGCAAGCGACACATAAGTGGAACCACCTACCTACCTATGAGTCAACTCATCAAGTTTTTATGTCAGTGTTGGTGGTTTGACCAATCAACCGACAACTGCGATATGGTTTTTGAATAGAATGAGGGACATTTCCGTCGACTTTTTGTGGTATGACCAGTATTGACAAAAATTGACAAGTTTACGATACCCATTAATGAGGAGAATATTCTCCGGTGATCTGATGAACTTAATGTAGTGACTTGTTTCATTGTAATGTAAGTGATATACACTGCCCGCCACTTGCGATGGAACAACCCATATTTACGATAAAACATACTAAGGGGCAAAGTAATTCACTTCTAACACCCGAACCCCTTTATTCTATCTGGAGAGTACTCTCAAGCATCAAAGATGCAGACATTTCCACGGATTCGTTTGGCTGGAAAATGTTACAGCACTACATTATCAAATTATCGAGATAGTGTGGAGCAGTGTATGAAAAATTATCGATGGCGGCATCTGATATAACTGAGGAAGACCATTCGTAAAACTAATTCTTGGTGCCAAACATTCAAATTCTATCCCAATCAGTAGTGAGAGCTCTTCGATTGATGAGCAAATGCTGCAAAAAATGGATAAAATCTATTTTCAAAGGTTCACAACNTATATATATTCAAAGAAACTCCAAAATATTGAGAATGATGATGTTCCATGAAAGTGTAATTATATATCAATAGTCCTTCATATATCATATGTAGCGTGTAGCGTTTCAATTCCATGCCGAATATTTGTAGAGAAAACTTCAGGGTCACGTTCAGGAACTTCTAATGTTTCGTGTGGGTGGGTTCATGAAGTTGTGGTTTTCATTTTCGTTAAAATGGCGCCTCTAATCCAGACTGGTTTCGTCTCCGTGGTCACATTTTTGAACAGCAAATTGCGAAAATAGATACAATCAAAGTCCGCCGTTCTACAGTCACATATTCCCTTACTTGAAGTGTAGTATTCGTGGTATCAAGTAATTTCAGAGATATAAATGAAAATCTGAAAAAAAAATCGTTTTTTTTCAGATAACGGTAGGCACGGGGATGGTAGAGAGCCTGTTATGAATTCAAAGTACCGGACCATTCATAAGTAATTTCCCTTTTTTGACCTCTATTTATTGAACTAAATATTGAAAAACTTCCTAAAAGAAATATTACTGGAGTTTTTTCCCAACACCAAATCGTTATTTTCAACACCTCGACACGTGTTTCGATCACCAAGTGATCATCTTCAAAGATGAAGATTATAACTAAGAACTAGTGCGAGCTAATCCTATTTATGCTATAAAGGTAACTCATACAGGTAAACCATCCAGGCGTATCAACCATACAGGTATACCAACCTAAATTAATTTTACAATTTTGCTTTATCTATTATTTTACAATATATGTTTATATAAAACAATTTTCAGCTATATAAATAACATAATTCAATATTGTGAAATTAATTTTTATACAGCTGAAAATTGTTTTATATAGACATAATTGTAAATTACAGGTATACCAACCTAAATTAATTTTACAATTTTGCTTTATCTATTATTTTACAATATATGTTTATATAAAACAATTTTCAGCTATATATATAACATAATTTAATATTGTGAAATTATTTTTCATATAGCTGAAAATTGTTTTATATAGACATAATTGTAAAATCAATTTAGGTTTGTATACCTGTACGGTTGGTACGCCTGGATTGTTTACCTGTATGAGTTACCTTTATAGCATAAATAGGATTAGCTCACACTAGTTCTTAGTTTTAATCTTCCTCTTTGAAGATGATCACTTGGTGATCGAAACACGTATCGAGGTGTTAAAAATAACGATTTGGTGTTGGGAAAAAACTACAGTAATATTCATTACTACACCAAAGGTTCCAAACAGTGCATCATAAGTTCCTAAAAGAAAACCAGTTTTTGAAATATACGAGAATAAATAAGCCTTTTCAAATAAACATAGTGTAATGTAAATGCAGGTCACACAATTTGCAGAGGTCAAAGGTTTGAATTTGTTCCTTATACCTAAATGAAAATTTCTGAAAAAAATCATCATTTGCACTATATTCCATAAATGAACATAAAGTGGTGTAAATTGAGTTTGGTTAAAACAGTTTCATTGTCAAACCAAAATTACGAAAATTTATTTCAATAATTATTTTCAGGTTCGTGAGAGATTTCGAAAGAACATACTCATCGATAATTTTTGCCCAGTTTACGGCAAGCGTATTAGTTTTATGCATATCTTGTCTTCAGATACTGTTGGTGAGTAAAGTACCTATTTTATGAATCTGATACGATCTATGGGTTTCGATACAAAACTTCGAAGTTCGCATAAAAACTTTCGTCAAAAAAAACACAATATTAAAGTATTGCCAATTTCAATTCCAACATATGATGAAACATTTTCTCTTTCTTGCCTGAATGAAAGTTATTTCGAGCAATCCACGTCATTCAGTAATATATCTTCCTTTTTTAGGTCGAACCTTTGTCCGCAACCTTCTTCGCGATGGTGATTTATGTCTTCACCATACTTGCTGAAATATTTCTTTATTGCTATTACGGAACGATTTTATATGAAGAAGTGAGTATAGTTCAGTCAATGCAGTAAACCATCCATTCAATTTGAGTTCATTTATCCTTACGAAAGCGATTGATGCACACCACTAGTCAAACTAAGCATTTCATTAAGAACAATACATAACTCTCTACTATCTAAACTTCTATTAGTCAATATAGTAGAAAATACATCAATGAAAAGAACCAAAGTGTGGTGGAAATATAGTTATTATAAATTGGAAGTTGAAATAATAATTACCATATGACAAAAATAAAATAAAATCATCATTGACAACTGGCTTGAATATAATATAATCAGTGTTTCCATATCAGAAAATGGTCATTTAATTTGTCGTGCCCTGTGAGTTCACGGATCAACTCCTCACCCTAAAATTAGTGTTCAAAGTTATTTGGCTGATCCTACGTTCAATACCCACGAAACAAATAATTCATACTTACATTATTATAGTAATATGAGTATTTCTTTTTGAAATAAAAACTATTCATTTAAAAAGCGTTTCGCTACACGGTAGCTTATTTCAACCCCTCGACACGTGTTTCGAACACCAAGTAGTCATCTTCAAGAGGAACATCAAACTAATCATACTTACAAAGTTATCCTTATTTATACCATACATACCTCTCTAGGTACCTGCTTGTTGAGTGTCTTGAATCAATTTCAAAATATTGCCTTGTCCACTAGTCAATGTGTCCTTATGTAATAGTCAGGTAAATCTAATAACTAAAATGGTATTTTAACAAGCTATACAGTATACTATTAGGTAATGGTCCACCATCGTTATTCATATTATTATGTCTTCTTATTTCTACACTTTCATAGGCATTTAGATGCCTGTTGTTGTTAACTTATCTAACTGATCTTAATGAACTGAAGTCTATGGAATGGATTTGTTGCAAAATATGATGGGCGACTGCTGATTTTTCAGGTCTTCCAAATTTTAAATCTGCCAAGTGTTCCTTATATCTTATTACAATAGATCTTTTTGTCTGTCCATAATATTTTGCATCGCAATCCTCGCATTCATTTTCGTAAATTTCAGACTTTTTCGAATTTTAGACTTTGTTTTTTGGATTCCCTGAAATGCTCTGAAGTGTATGACTTGTTTTAAAAACCACCTTCATACCTAGTTCCTTGAAAATCTTTCCAAAGTTCTTCGTATATTGGTGATATGGAACTGGGATGGTGAAGAAAGGAGAATTGAAACTTTCTATGGTTTTTACCACTTTTTTTTTGTAACTAACGTTACGGCAGTTTCGTCCTATAAGAACATTTTCAAACTTATACATTGAACTAACAGTGGTTGATTACATTAGCCCTTACATAGCACCACTGTAGGTAATAATATAGGTACTTGGCTTGATTGAGTACCTGAATATTTCGTTTACTAGTTACAATGCGGATATGCTAATTTAAAAACCAGTGAGTGAACTGAATCGATTTGATCATTCAACAGGTTACAACCGCAATGTTTATGCTTGATAATTTCAAAGGATTCTAAATAATTGAGTTTGCAACCATTCCTTGCATAGTGCAAAGTTTCCGTATCGTTTTGATTCGGGAACTTGTGGTTGCATGCCAAAGAATGTTTAAAAACGTCGAATAATTCTTTCTCAGTCTGAAAAACCTTTCATGTTCAGTATACTGTTTTTGGAAATTTCGACCACATTGCCCCATATAAACACTCCGGACACTTAAGCTTATGAACTCCAGATTCCTCCAACTTGTCCACCTTTGGCATTGAAAAGGAAGTCAGATAACCTGGCATGTGGTCTGAGTACCACTTCCACATTGTTTTTTTCTGAAGAAACTCGCAATTACCTCTGTTCTTTTTTCAAAATATGTAAGAGTTACCCATTTCCTAATTTCTGGTTGTTTGACCTGAGGGTATATTGATCTGTAAGTGAATTTACGGCTTTGTTTTCTGACTAACTTCTGGATAGTATCTGCGTTGAAACCATTATTATGACCTATCTGTGTAATTATATCAATTTCCCTAGCTAGATTGCTAGCAGACAAAGGCAGTGGGAATGCTCTGTGCAACATCGAATTGTAGGCTTCTAATTTATCACTGTCTGGATGGAAATAATCGCTTGGGATGATAATGTTTATATAGCTAGGTTTCTGAAAACATTGAAGTAAATTTTTTTCTGATTGTGTGTAATGGTCAGGTCTGAGAAATGTATTTGTTTCTCTATTTCTGTTTCGAGTGTGAACTGAATGTTGCTATTGAAATTATTCATGTCATAATGTCATAAATTGATTCAGCTCTCGTGTAGTACCTCTGAAACAGGCGTGAATATCGTCTACATATCTGTACCAAAAATGAATATGATTTTTACCCAGGTCAGAACTTATTATAGTGGTCTCCAAGCTGTTCATAAATGTGTCTGCTGAAAGTGGAGTAAGGGGTGAGCCCATAGGTAAACCTGAATCCTGTTTATCGAATTTGTTGTTGAACACTAGGTAGCTCTGATTTAGGAACACATTGAAAGCTTTTGAAACTTCAAAGGAAGTGATATAGTCTAGTTTGGCTTGATCTAATATATTCAAAATGAGTGGCTTACACTCGTTGTACGGTATGTTGGAGAACATACTCTTTACATCGAATGATGATCTCCTATCACGTAGTAACGGCTATAACCATCAATTCATTTATTTTAGTTTTTGTTATTTTTAAAAGTCGAGATTTCGTTCATTCTTAACCTAAATTTTTCCTTCCTTATTATATTCTCTACATTACCCCTCGAGAAACCGTTAGTGGCTGCTATTTCCTGTATTATAGGTTTTTTTTTGTGAATCTCCCATGTGTGAGAGGAAAAGTCGAAAGACGATGCATTAGAAAATTCAAGAATACACCTTACGTGCTTGTCATTCTAGTCATTACCAGAATGTCAAGAAATGGAAGTTGTCCTTCATTTCTATCAATGAAACGTGAGTTTTATTGATAGAAATCTGTTATTTTAAAAGAAAACAAAGTCCTCAATATTCCATTTTTTGTTATCGAATATTGCGAAAACATCATCCACATACCTTAGCCATATCCTAGGAATATACTTTGACATTTCTTTGGTTTTCATTTCGAATCTGCTCACGAATAGGTTTGTCAGGTAAAGAATTAAATGTAAGGACTGCGATGCAAAATATCATGGACAGATAAAAAGATCTATTAAAATAATATATAAAGAACACTCAGCACACTTGAAATATAAATAAGTTCACTAGAATTAGTTAGACAAATTAACAATAATTGTCATCTAGATGCCTATGAGAGTGTAGGAATAAGTAAACATAATAATTTTATGAATAACGATGGTGGACCAATACCTAATAGAATACTATATAGCTTGTTAAAATAATGTTTTAATTATTAGATTTACCTGATTATTACATAAGGACACATTATAAAATTAATTCAAGACAAGTAGATACGGCAATATTGTGAAATTAATTCAAGACACTCAAGACGCAGGTACCTAGAAGAAGTATCTATATAAATAAATAAGGATAACTTTGTAAGTATGACTAGTTAGATCTTACTTTCGAAGAAAATCACTTGGTGATCGAAACACGTGTCGAGGTGTTCAAATAACGGTTTGGTATTGGGAAAAACTCCAATAATATCCATTACTACACCAAAGATAGATTTGGAATAGGTACAATGTAATATTGAAATATTGGCATTTCTCCTAGTAGTTATATTTTATTTACCACCTAATTGTTTATTCAAAATCTAGCTGTTTTATCATATTCAATCATTTTTCTGATAAGTTTAGGCATTATATGAAAGATATTGTAGAATAGTTCGATGGTTCAGTAATTGATGAAGCTACCGTGTAGCGAAAGGCTATTGATAATTTTCGTCAAGTAACCGGTCAGGGTATTCAAAAATAAACACAAATTTCACAAAAGCTGCACAAGAATTCATCACCTTGGCATCAAGGGGTGATTTTTCCGCGAATGAAAATTTTTCCTACCTCTATATAAATATATGAACCCGTACAAGAACTGGCAAGTTACCCTCCTATTGTTTTTACATGCATCACTTACAACTAACGGCATTTTCAAAAAGTATCACATGTCCCCCTTTGTTATATTTCTGTAGGTTCGAATGAATCAATGAATGCCAGCTATTCATTTAAATACGTATCCATTTTCTGCAAATTATCATCAGTAAATTTCTTCTTAAAAAATTGAGTGTTCCTGGAGAACGTATTTTTTGATCTTGGATTTCATATTACTACTATTTCTGAATTTTATAGTTTGCTCTGTTTGTTTTTGGGTTTGTATCAGCTTTGTATTGAGTTTGACTTCTTTCACAGTGGGAATTAAAAAAAAAATCGAAATTGAGATTGAACTGAGTTTACATCTCGCCCTCATACTGATAGAGTCGAACTAACTCCAAATACGGGTCTAGCGACCTCAGAAACCTATAGTGATCCTACTCTCGGACGTGTTTGGAAAAATATTTCATATCATCTGATTCTCACCTTGAATCATTTTCAGTACAACACTGACACCCCCCATTCAAAGATTCTGAAAATATTGACGCTGAGCAAACACATCTCTGCAAAAAATTGCATCTGAAAGCTCTATGAGGCTGTATTCCACTTTGGCACATCTGTATATTCTGGCCATTACTACACATTTGACAAAAAAAACACGACTGGCTCAAATTCGATGATAATATTGTTCCTAAAGCATCATAGGATCAATTGAACATCCTCAAATCTCCAAAAATGCCCGGCATTTTTTTACCGTTGGGAGAAGGGCTCAGATCTGGAGATCATACTTTTTGCTTAACCTACCTAGCTCTCGAAAATATAGAATGATACTTATCGTTATTTTCCATTATATCATTTACCAAAGTAACCAAAGAATATATCTATTATAAACTCTATAAATTGTGAATTGCACGAATTTTGCGATGTTAGTTCGCAAGGTTACGCTACCGCTGTTGATTCGATATATTGGGAGAAGATAAATTTTCAACCCATTTTGTGTGC